GATATAAGGGGTCGGGGTGGGACTGCAGCTAATCACTAGGGTATGCACAAATTTGGAAACTACTCCCTTTTTGTTTGGGTGGGATCAAGGGCTATGGGAGTTTTGGTAAATTACTATCACTGTTCAGAAGCAGGAGTGATTTTTTTTTTTTTTTTTTTTTGATACCGGGGATTGAACTCAGGCCCTTGTGCTTGCTAGGGAAGTGCTTATTCCACTGAGCTATCTCCCCAGCCCTTGATTGTTGATTAATTGCTTTGTTTTCCTGAGTGTCAAGCCCTGTATCTTCTGCTGATTGTGAACTGTTAAGACATCAAGGTCACAGCTCTTTTTTTTGGTGGAACCGGGGATTGAACTCAGATCCTTGCGTTTGCCAGTCAAAACCTAACCCTTTGTGACTTTTTTTTTTTGGTGGAACCAGGGATCGATCTCAGGCCCTTGAGCTTGCCAGAGAAGCGCTTAGTCCACTGAGCCATCTCCCCGGCCCTCTATTTATTTATTTATTTATTTATTTGTGTGTGTGTGTGGCCAGCTCAGCCCACCAGGGGGCTTGGCTGGCTGGCATGTGGTGCTGGGGGATTGAACAGCGGTCCCTGTGCTTTGCTAAGCTTGTTCTGAGTAGGTGCTTTAGACCACTGAGCCATCTCACCAGCCCCCTCTTTTTTTTAAACTTATTATTTATTTATTTATATATGTGTGTGTGTGTGTGGCCAGCTCAGCCCACCAGGGGGTGGGGCTGGCTGGCATGTGGTGTTGGGGTATTGAACCGTGGTCCCTGTGATTTGCTAAGTTTCTTCTAAGTAGGTGCTTTAGACCACTGAGCCATCTCACCAGTCCCTCACAGCTCTTTTTTACAGAACTGATTATTGATTTATGTACTGGAACTTGATTCTCAAGTGCCTTCCTTCATTGAGGAAGTAGAAAAGAAAGAATAGCCAAAGGAGTATTTAAAAAAAATTAATGGTAAAAAAAATCTTGTTATTTTTAACTTATTTATAGATATTTTGGATCCTAATTTGTATACAATCTACTGGATAACTATGAATTCCCAAGAACTGTAGTCAGTGAGGAAGGGAAAAGACACTAATTTGAATCAGACTTCGAAGTTTCAAGGAGGCAGATGTATTCTGTATTATTTTGACCAGAGCAACTGTAGACAATGAAAAAGGTAGGAAACTGAGGATACATAGGTGTTTCTGAAGGACACTGATGAGTTTGGAGTTAAGTCATGAGAAAAAATTTGTTTTGAGATCAATTAACAAGGAGATAATTATATAATTAGTAAAAGTTAGTTCTCCAGTTTACAAGTGTTTACTTTCTCAAATGGCCAAAATGCAGTAAGTGCACTAATACTTTACTGAACAGTTTCCCTACTTTTTTTTAAAAATTTATTTATTTGTGTGTGTGTGTGTGTGTGTGTGTGTGGCCAGCTCAGCCCACTAGGGGGCGGGGCTGGCTGGCATGTGGTGCTGGGGGATTGAACCGCGGTCCCCATGCTTTGCTGCGCTTGTTCTAAGTAGGTGCTTTAGACCACTGAGCCATCTCACCAGCCCAGTTTCCCTACTTTGATAATTGAGTTTTTACAGTCTACTGTTTGAATAGGATCTGAATGTTAAATTAGGCATCTGTACAGGGTTTGTTTTTTTGGTACCAGGAATTGAACTCAGGCCTTTGCACTTGCCAGGTAGGCACAGTTCCACTGGTCTATATCTCTGCCCCATCTGTGAGTTCTTAAAGTTACTTAGGATCTTGTCTCTTCTGCAAACTTCTATGGACAGTCTTTGGGTTTTGTTTCTATCCTGAAACTTTCCTTAGTTTATGTGTTGCTACTGCGTTGGTCCAAGCTACTATTCTTTCTTGGATTATAGCAATAGCTCCTAACCCAAATCCCTACTTTGACCCTTAGGAGTCTTACAGTCTTTTTGTAGCAGCTGTAATAATCCTTTTGAAACATAAATTGTCATTCTTGAATGAAATTGTACTGATACCTTCTGGGGAATTGTTCTCAATAGAAGCCAGATCCTTCTAGTGACCTTCTTGGACTCATTTTTTTTGTCCTCTGTTCCCCTAGCACTGGCCTCCTTGTTCCTAGAACTATGCAAGCATGCCCCACCTCATCATTAGCTAATCTCTCTTGCCTGAAATGTTCGCCCAAGTATCTGTTTGGCTCAT